TTTTTTTTTTTTTTTTTTTTTTTTTTTTGTTAATGGAGCTGGATGTCTGAGACATATAATCCAAGACCTACACAAACCGCCCTCTGAATTGAAACAGCCTCACTGCTTGCCCAGGGAATGCTACAAACTCTATTCATTATTAATGTATACGTTCAGAATGGATTAAGAATTCTGTATGTGTGAGAGAAGAAACAGTATGCTTCAAGACAGCTGCCCTTGTGCGCGCTTAATGATCAGAGTTTTTGTTGGAGTCTGAAGCAAAGCAACGGGGATCGCTTCAGGACTTCGTGAGGGAACGGAGGACCAGCTTGGCTTACAAGCACACGAGCAAGTGTCTGACTTGTTTACTGCTGGGAGAATTATGGCGCTGGTTTCCCTCACGGCCACATTTATTCATTTATCTCATTCAGTTATTTATCTTCAAAGAAATATTATATATCTGACAGCCACGCTTATTCTCTTGGTTGTTTGATTACCAGCCGTTACATTAATCTCACTTATTGTGGAAATCGAAAAGATGTCATATTTTTTATTTTTTTTCTTTTTACCCGAGGGATGCGGCAGATGAGGAGCCGCAGGTGGGTTTTTCATCCGCACGGCTTTAGACGAATGAGTCACACAGCAAGAGTGAACTTGGAGTTATCTTTTGAGCACGTATTAGTCCCTCAAATGCCGAAAAAGCAGTTGACCTTTAATTTGTTGTCGACAAACTCACAATTCAATTGTCTTTTAAAACCTTTGTATTTATTTTCCTGTCTGCTTTAGCCTCAGGGAGCCAGAAATGATGGGTGTAGCTGTTCCCCCAGAACCACTTGTTCTCCGTTTGAAAATTCTGACTCATAACTCAGCAGCTTTAATGTTGGTACGAGCAAATAGAAAATAAATAAATAAATAAATAAATACATAAATAAATAAATGTAACAGTAAGTCATGCTTTGGACAAGACAATCTTGGATAATTGCAATAAATATAAACCAAATTTTCAGATTAAGTAGGTCAGTAGTGGTTTAGGAGCTGGGTGATGTGGCTCATCAAAGTTATCAGTCCCCTTCATCTGCCAAACCACTTTGAAACATTTTTTTTTTTTGAAAGCCTCCCGGATCACAATGAAGTCATAACTACACTTAGTAGAGATTCTTTAAAACACACTTGACTCTGTTTGTGAAAGTACAAAAATAAGATTTTTTTTTTTTTTTGGCCCATCTCTCACAAGAAAGGAAAGTCGCATCATATAGACTAGTCCACCTTGGGCTCATTTATTTCACACTGACTGAATATACTTTAAAACACAGTTTGTGATCTCTGAATTCTTTACTAAACTCATTTTAAAAACATTTTTTTTTTACTTTCTCAAAAATAACATCTATTTCGTGAATTCAAAAACAATTATACAGGAACTATCACTGAGGTAAATCTGAATATTATCTAAAATAGACCACAATAATACTACTACTAGTCAAAGATTATTACTTCCAGAGTTTGACATTTTCAGACACACTAAAATAATTGATGTAATTATCAAAGCGAACGCTAGGGGTCAGTGTCTCACCACTAGCGGGGATAGGCTGCGTCCACCTTTATCACTTTTACCGCAACTCGCTGCGCTTCCTGGACCTGGTAGTGTTACCTTGGAAAGTAGGCTAGTAACACATGAGGTTTCACATCATAGCATAGCATTATATTGTTGAAAACATGACAAATAAAGGGCTTCAAAGGTTAATAGAAAGAAAGTGAAAAGAGGGCGGCCACCTGATGACGGTAACGGAGCGGAGGAGCTGTTGAGTGTTAGTCGCTGTTTGAGAGTGAGCGGCTAAAGTCCACTTGGATTATGACAAGCTGGAAACGGATAAATCCATTTTCTCGAGGAACCAGGACACGAATTTAGGTAAGATACACTAAATCTTACACAAAAATACTCTAATTCGCGGGGGTTCTAATGTATTGTGGTACTTTAATTGTTACTCTGATAATTTACCTATCATGATCAAATTCTAGAATCTAGGCACATTATTGTCATGTTTTTTTTTCTTTTTCTTTCTTTCTTTTCTTTTTTCCCCCCAAACAACATAGGCTATTCTCTTGAAACGATGTGGAACAAGTATTTTATCTCGAGGGAGATATTAAATTGACATAGGGTGACACCTCGCTATATTCCCCGCAGTGTGTTTAAATTGCATGTCTGTATAATGAAAACATCCATTGACCCTTTGTGTCTCTCTCTGCATGACTGCGGTATTAAGTAATCTAGACTTTCAAGGAGTGAGTTTTTAGTAATTTTACATTTCCCAGACCTATCTATGCAGGATCCACATGTGAAGGAGACAGCTGAGAGCATGCACTGTAAACACACAAGGTGCAGGAGGAGCATAGATCTTTCAAAGTTTGTTACCCAGCCATCATCTGGACAGTGTCTTAAATGCCAGCTAATAATTAAGCTCTCAAAGAAGCGCATGTAAACCAAACAAACTCCATTATCTACTGTTTAATGGAGATTCTTGGCTTGACTGATCAGCGTGGTAACATTTACAGAGCTGGTTTCCAATTCTTTTGTTATCTAGATATTTGTTTGGACTCTTACAGAAAGTCTCTGATCTGATCTTTAAGCTCTGAGTGAGTCAATGTCCTGCAGTTTCTTTCTTCTTATTAGGAGTCCAAAGGGCCAGACCTGATATTGATGATAACAGGAAGGCTAAAATAAATTCTGACTGTTAAAAAAACATTTAGTTTCAAGTAAGAGTAAGTTATCTGGCAACATGGCCACTTGTAAGCCTGGTAATGGCCCACATGAGATTTTACTGCTGTGATAACCTTAACTGATTTCAGGGTATTTAGATAAGCAAACAACTTAAATATGTAACATAATCTATTTTTGTTTTTAAAAGACGGAAGGGACGACTATTAAGTCTTCAGCTACAATAATAGATTTTATTTTATTTTTTACTGTTTTTTAAATAATGTAACTTAAAACATGTTGTTTGTTCTTTTCATTCATAGACATAGGCACCAGAATAAAATTAGAATATTCACCTCCTAAAATTAGCTGTACTTTTTTTTTGCAATTTAAGCTTGTGTATTGTTGGAGTATTAGGCCTCTTGGTTTTCCTGCTCTCTATAGTTTATATCAGCTGATTAATTAATCAAGCTGTCTGCTCAGATTGCAAATCTGTCTGCTTGTTAGAAATGCTGCTCTACCTTCTTTGTTGTATTTTTATTTTATTTATTTATTTTTTTGAAAGCAACATTTTTTGCAACAATGTTCTTTCTGGTGAAATTATTTGATATTTCTCCAGCTCTCTAATTCAGAACTCTTGGAAAGTCCTCATAGGTCCTTCAGTGCAGCAATAACTGCTGCTCTAAATTTCTGACTAATTGCACAACATTTTACACCCCACAAGAACAATTTCTACCCAGAATGTATGTCAGTGCTGCAAGAATAAAGTGATGTAATTTTGTCCTTGCAGCGTTGGGAGAGAGCATTCTGGTGAAGTATGTATGATGTGTCATGTGTGACATTTCGTACCCATTTGACAGTCAAATTCAATATCCTTATGTGTAGAAATTTAAGCACGCTACTCTAATAAAGTAACGAGTTATTGTGGTTTGATCAGGGGTCATAAGTCCATATTTCGTAATAATCAGAGGACCCAAACTGGGGTCAGAACTCCGATCAATGAGAATAGGATGAGGAATAAAATCTTTAGTTATTTGCACTGGTGGCTGTCAGCAGGAAGTCCCGGGCTCCTTCTGCATCAAGTTTGCATGTTCTCCATGAGCAGGTGTGGGTTCTGTTCGGGTACTCCAGATTCCTCCCACCGTCCAAAATCATTTTAGGTCTACTGTTTTCTCCAAGCTGTCCTTAGAAGTGACTGTGGACCACTATAGGAAGTGACTGTGTGTCACTTCTAAGGTAGACTGCCACTTACCCACCAGGCACAAGAGTACAAGGATAATGAGGTAAAGACCATTAATAGATGGATGGATATGAGCATTTTTAGGACTCTTTATCCCCACCATTTAGCAAAAAATACTTAATAACCAAGAGAATAAACATTCATTCAAACAAATGGCTGTGAAAAGGTTTGTTGAGAAGTGTGAAATGGGAATAGGAAATGTCAGCATGTATGTTAGCGATCGGCAAAGGGATGAATTAACCTGGAGTCATCTGGACTGTTTCAAGATAAAAGGATATTGCTGATTAACGCAAAAACACCCAAGACTGCATGTGTTCATTTTAGTATTTTTGCAAGTAAATAATTAGGGACCCTTTTGCTTTTTTTTTTTTTAGCTATCTTGTTTGTTTCTTTTAGCTATAAATCATATCTGCAATACCTGGCTATAAGATTATTATATTCACAGAAGATGCAAGTCCCTGTCTGCCCTCAGAGATTATGAATTTAAGTCCAGCGACTCTCGATGGGCTTTTGGGCTGATGTCACACCTGAAATAGAAAGAGGAGATTATTTCTGTTATATAAAACAGGACTAATCTTTTCTAAACAAATGACGGCAAACAGCATCTCAGTGAGAGAGCTTTGTCTTCTGTGTGTTGCTACTGTATCAGAATAACTCCAGTGTCAGAGATGGATGTACAGAGCTCAAGTGTTTTATTCACCACTGTGCAAGTAAAACATGTAAAGCTGCAGAATTGTGAACAAATACAGTCCAGTTCTGCTGGTTTTAAAGGCGTCCATCTATTTGGTTGGAGCACAGCTCAGTAAAGTTGATTGTAATCTTTTCTTTGCTTTGTCACTCAAGAACATTCATGTACGCTGAGAAATTCAGCTTTATACGTTCTTTAGGATAAGTGGTGTCTGTTAAGGGAGCTGCCACCACCGTCCTCCGCTGTTCAGCCACTTTGTGGTTGCTTGATGAAATCGTTTCTGTGAGTGAATGTCACAGGACAGAGAGCATGTTGGGGGCCGAGGTCAGTAGGTAGACAGATTAGAAAGATCATCTGGCTCCATGTTTTCTCGCATTTTTTGGCTTATTGCTCGGTTGCTAGTCTGCAAATTAAAGTTTCCTGGATTTTTTGAGTTTCAGGCCATGAAGATGAACACAGAAATATTTGACCATGAAGAGTGGTGAAATTGAGTAATTGCTCTATGCAATTTTATTTCCCATCTTCTCTTTTCTGTTACATTCATATTTCATTTACCCGTAAAGCACTGCTCTTCCTTATCAGGACCACTATAGGATGCTGATTTCCTGAGTGCTTTTAGATCAAGACAACCTGTTTTTACTGAGTCCATGACATAAATGAATGATTAATAAAAGTGTCCCTGAATGCAACTCCTTCTGTTTTCTTGTTGTTGGCTTTTTTTTAGGTGACGCTCACGCAAGATTGAGAAATCTTACAAGTCATTACAGCTGACATCCATTGGGGGGATTTATGGATGGAGTAACTGTTCTTCTTCAGAGTAAAATTGTAACATTAGTGAAATGAGAATAGTTCCCAAATTCAGAAACTCATAGATTAAGTTTGACATTCCACTTTTTCTTCTAAGCACTTAGGGGACCATAAGAAATCTAAAAAGTCACATTTTTGACGCCATCAACTTGGGTTTAATTTCCCGTCGGTTGTAAATTAACATCCTTTTGCAGAGATCAATAAGCCTTCACTATAACGTCTCAGTTGATTACATTTTTTACTTCAGACATTCTGTGTTTATTGCTCTAGAACATCTGAAACTTGAGGGTCCGCTGGTTGAAATGATTCTTTCCAGTGCCAATTATTAAAGCCGCTGAGCTTTTTATTACTTAAGATATTTTACATGTGTGGTGTTTGTTTTTCTTTGCAAAGTCGCCACAAACCCAAAGTGGAAGTTTTTGCAAGGTGGGGAGACAATAAAATGCTAACACGTGCAAGGCGAGCAGAGCCAGCGTGTTTTTGAGAACATGATTTAAATTAATTTCCTGATTTTTTTATTTTTTTATTGTTGTTTTGCACTGTTGCCTTTTAGGTCCCTTTGGCAGTTGGTTTCACACAATAACATTGTCAAAACAGTACTGAATAAATGATTTACAATGCAAATGGAGCGTTTGTAAAATCGCAGTTGCAAAGGACTGCTTTGACATCTGGTTGGATGTAATATTTTAAGTACTGTGCATCAAAACTCTGCATGCTAAGAACTTTTTTTCAACTGGCTTTGATGCACACACCGTCACTGTAACCAGCAGTAGTCTCACAATGAAATGTTTTCCTGACATCATACAACCCTAATTGCAAATTCATTAGCAAATCAAAAGTTAATAATATTGAGTATAGCTATGTTTTTTTTTTTTTTTTTTTAGATTCTTACAGCATAAAAACTTTAAAGTATTTTGCTTTTTAAATAAACACTCCACATAAATATAGATGACACGATGTGACTGCTTCTATTTAGAACAGGAAAACAATAGTTGTTCTTATTGCTACACAGTAACTTATTACAGGGAATATTATACCTCAATGTCATTCTGGTCTTTAAAAGGTATCACAACTCTAATAAACTGATATTAACTTGGTAATTTGTTAGGCTTAATGTTTGGAACAAGACTTTACGGTTTGAGGTTTATCAGGGATGCTGTCATAGTTTACCATCTGTTTTATAATTTATATTTTGTGGCACTTGTTACATTTACTCAGTTTGTTACATTTACTCAGACAGGAAATCAGCATGAAGAGAAGGGGTGAATGTCCAAGGGTTGGGAATTGAATCAAATATGGCTACATCAAAGACTAAATATTTCCAAGGGTCTGAATTTGTCTTTTGGAAACTTACAAGCTAAGTGCAGGGGCCTTCTTACAGAGACCTTCAGCTAATTCCTACACAATGTTGGTGTGTAAATGAAGGCAGCTAACTTACAAGGAATCCTGATAATCCACCAATCAATACTTTCCCAACAAAGTAGAGAGTTTTCTTCTATAAATACCCGCAGATCGCTGTTGCATCATCATGTGGCTGGTTGCTAATCTCAGTTTATCTCTGGCTTGTCAAAGAGTTTTTTTTAGTTTGACCTTCTGTTAAAAAGAAATGATACATTACCACAAAAAACAACAACAACAACAACAACAACAAAAAAAACAAGAACAAGCACCAACCCAAAGACATCACAGGTTTTAATACTCCCTGTCCTTTTCTACTTTTGGAAGTGATTTTTCTTGTTTAGGAATGCAATTATGCAACTTTTTTCCAAATTCGAAGTCTGACGGAGCCCATATTTTCTCTTTGTGACGATGCGTTTACTGTGAAAATAAAACCCACGTTTCTGATTCTCTGTATTGCTGTCACCATCACAGATACAGTGCATCGCTCTCGCTGCTGCATTATGCAACGTTAAAGCCAGTTGTCATGGTGTTAGCCTTGGAGAACTACAGAGACTATCTGTAAAGGTGTAGTCACCGTCTCTACTGCCAATAGCTTCACTTTTCAACCTGTAATATATATATTTTTTTCTTTTTATCTCCCTCATTTTTGATCAAAAGATTAATGCCGTGCCTGGTTTCGTGTCGGTGTGGTGTACTAAGCAGAGACTCTGGACTCTCGGCTTGAAGGACTTAGACATGATTTGTTTGATGGAAAGTGCTGAAGAGTGTGGCTGCTTACATTGGGATCTGGAAGCAGTTAGTGTCTCTCTCTTTTACCGCTTAAAAGAGAGGCAGTAAACGAAAGAGCGATATTACCATTACTGCAAATAAGGTCGGACAAGGCTTGCGCTGCTCCTCGGAGTGTGTGCCAGTGTCTTCTCTCTGTCAGTCGGTGAGGGCACTGGTGCATGGGATACACACAAACAATTAATCCCTTTCCTCCTCTCGCTATCACTTCTTCCACTGCTCCTGAAGAGGGTCTTACTCTGCAGAAGCAACATTGGCATTCACATCACAGCGCGCGCGCGCGCACACACACACACACACACACAATTCGCAGAGATGATCATATTTCTCCATTCATCCACTCGTGGGTTTGGCTCCTCTAAGGTACGTGCGCTGTTGAACTGATTCCACCTCGTATCGATCTAGATTACTCTTCTCTGCAGCTTAACCCTCAAGTTTAGGATCGGAATGTCGGCGCATATGTGTCTCTGTTTTCAGTTGTGTTTTTAGTTAAATCATGAGATTGCTGCTCTCTTAATCAATGCTCTGAGAGTTTGGAGCACATGATATGTTTTAATTGATCGAATGCACTTTCTATGTATTTCTTGGAGCATCCTATGCATCAGCTCATTTGTTATGACTGAACCCTGCTGCACCAACTTTTCTTCCCATTTTGCCATTCTCAATCACAGACTATTAACTCCACCGGCTCTGTGTGTGTGTGTGTGTTTTACTATTTCAGGCTTCTTCCCTCCTTGCTGCTGCACACTGAAGGAACCCTGCAGTGAAAGGAAAGAGTAACAGCCCACGAGTGTTTGTCTGAAGAGGTGAATGTCTTTGTGCACACGTGCGACCTGTTAAAGGAGAGTTTCTACGCCAAGAGACGCCCAGCAGAGATGCTAGGAGCTCACTTCATGGCAGCGATGCTCCTGTTGCTCACTTCGTTGTGTGCAGTGGCGAATGGCTTTCCGTTCAGAACGCCTCTGGACCTGGACGTGACTCCACGCGTCACCGTCCTGAACAGCGGTAAGGATGTCTGCTGAGATTTACGTTCATGGCTTTTGCAATCTGAAAATATTCTCCAGAAGAATGTTTGGGAATATCCTGTGATTAGTATTTTTACTGTGGTGTTTCCATCTCTCGGGGTGTTTCCTAACACTGGCATGAGCCAGTGTTAAATTTTCTCTGTGCGATAACCATGTGTAAAAACATCAATCCCGATGTTAATTCATTTATTTCATCTGTTACATTAACATGTTGTTATTAGGAATGGACCAGTTGCTGATATACCATAAATGTCAAAGATTTGACATTCAAATCTTTAATCTTACCATCTCCACGGTTCAAAGTCCTTTTTTATTAAACGATACAGAAAGTGCCAGAGCGAGCCACATTTCCTCTGTGAATATGGATTACAGAGTAGCACAGTTCTTCCCTTTACCCACCTGTTGCTCCACGCCACGGATCACCTGGCATAAAAAAAGCCACTACACATTTTCCCGGCTTACAAAGCATTACATTTTATCTGTTTAGTGGTATCTTTGATTACAGTCTTGGCATAAATAAAGCAGCACTTCCCTTCATGCTTATCCAGGTAATCTTGCTTTAAAGCTGGAGTTGGCAAGTTTCAAGTGGCATGATGGTTAAGCAGCTGACTGCAGGCTTTGCCTGAGCTGATAACCCATCTAATTAACCAGCCGATGTCCAGTCGTGTGCTTTACTCTGTAAAATGAAGAAAAGCCTAGAAGTACATTTCTGCACAGTAAGAAATTGAAAATCATTGAAATAATCAAATGGATTAGTTTGTGTTTGTTAGCTACGTTACAGTTAGCATGTGTGACTAACTTAGAGTTTTATTCTCATGTAACTTTCATAGTTTTTGTGCTGCTGTTAAGAAAAGCTTGCGCTCATATATTTTTATTATCATTATTATGAGGACAAGGTTTGAGGAATATCAAACTATTTCCAATGCTTTTAAGTTTGCAGTAATTTTCTTATGTCAGAGGTGAATGTGAGCAAATGATAACAAAGGATTTAAGACCTCGGTGTAAATAAATAACTAAAATGTATCTAAAAGCTTCAATTTCTTTAGCTGATCAATCAAACCTGTGTTTTTTTCCCCTCCCCATTCAAAGTTTGAATAATATTGAATGCCACTTTGGGCTCAGTTAAATAATAATAAAAAACTGAATGCAAAATGGAGCTCAGTTAAAATTTTAATGTTTTGACCTTGTATCTTTTAAGATTTTTATTTTTTGCCGCTTCTTTTCTTTCGCACCTCAAAACGGCTCCATTCTTGTTTTTTTCGAGAAATTTCAGTTATTCACTCCTGTGAATAAACATTGTATCTCTTTTTTTTTGACGGCGATGATTTTTTTTTTTATTTTTTACTCTTCTTGTGCTTAGCGGTGAGTATTATTTACTTGCCATGTGAGTGATGGCATGTAGCCTGAGGTGCGATGGAGACATAAGCAGATGTGTGAATTGCTTTCTCTTGGATCCCTGCAGAGCATCCAGGGCGTCTGACTTCGCTGAGAGTAGTCGAGAAGCACCGTAGCCATGACAACTGTTGTAGTGTGGTGCAAGACGGCGGTATACAATTTTTATCTTAGGACGTGTGTAAGGATGTGTGAATCGTTATAACAGGAGCTGTTTATTTTTTTTTATACTTTTTTGGAAAATTTCGTACTGCAACATAAAAAGTTTTTCATAATATCTGATCCCACTTGTTTCTGAACAGTTTTATTTCTTTAAATATTTCTCATTACTCCTTTATTTAAACCCCTCTTGGTGACTATTTTTTTTAGTCACCAAGAGGGTGACTAGCTCATTTAGTTCATTTTTATAATTTATACTCATTCAGCCTTTCGACCCTCTTAAATAAATTCTTCTTGTTTAATTCCTGTTGTCTGCTTATCTCTTTAAGTCAACATAAATATTATTTTTTGTATTTTTTCCCTTGGTCTCACTTTAGTTGTTACTGACTTCTTCTTTCACTTTACTATGTTATCAAACTGATTCGGTGCTTTGAAAAATAATTCATATTTCTCTAACTTTTCTACATTTTGTTGCTTCCCAACCACAAATTTGAATGTGTGTTATTGTAACCTTTTGTAGCAGATCAGCACAAAGCAAACAACTTCAACAGAAGTTGAACCCTGAACCTGTTCTCCCTTACATAACAGCAGAGCCTGGATCGATATTAAAATGGTATAGATGCAACCAAATTCATGTTAGAATGGCCTAGTCAAAATCCAGATAAATGTGTGAAAGTTGCTTTTTGCTGTCGGTACATCTGCAAAACTGGCAGATTTATACAATAAAAGACTTGCGGCTGCGTAATTGGAGTGAAGGTGATTTAATAAAGTATCGACTCAGACTGGCTGAATGCAAATACACGCCACATATTTGAATGCATTATACTTCCACTTGATAATAAAGAATGTTTTGTAATCTGCCACATCTAATACAATTAAATAGAGTTTAGCGTTTGGCTGCAATGTGACAAAATGTGAAAAGGTTCAAGGAGTATGAATCTTTTGCCCCTTTACTAAAACTTATTTTTTCTACAATTTAAAACCAAGGCTTCCAAACCTGAGTGGTTAGACAAATCATTTGTGCATATAAACATTTAGGCTTTACAATTTTCTCTTCAAAAAAGAACAAAAAAAAAAAAAATCATGTTAGGTGAATTTTTTTTTAGGTTTATCAATTTAAATAAATTCTCCATCCATCCACCCATCATTTGGGTGATGGGTAGATTTTTAAATGGAGAAAAAAAAAACGTGAGAAAGCCTCTCCTAATTTAAACCTGTCAGGTGTTGTGATCATTTGCCCTCAGATTCATGTAAACGTCAGAAAGGTGAGCAGTAAACACGTCTGGCGGCAGAGCGTGAGCTGTCACGTCACAGTCTAATGCTTTGAAGTTCGATGAGTGTGTGTGAGTGTTTGTATGCTTTGTGTGTGTGTGTGTGTGTGTGTTTCCTTGAACACAGTGTACCGCACTGATCAGCTGAGGTCCCTCCAAGTGTTTGCTCAGTAAATAACATCACTGTGGCTCCTCTCTGTGACTGGCTCAGACCTTTTTGTTTCACAACCCGACTCAGGCAGCCTTTTCTGCAATGCTCTTCTAAGCCGAAGCTAAAAAAAAAAAAAAGTGCTTTTGGGACTTATTATTGTAAAGCAGCCCTGATAAATTTCTCTCTGGTGTGCCACACTCCCAGTGAGGATGTTTTTTGAGGTACTTCACGCCTGCTGTCAAGCCCTCACTCAAACAACATGTTATGCGTCTTAATGCTTGGATTGCTTAGAGGAAATGTCAGCTTTTTTTTTTCTTCAGTCATAATGCATTGTCTTCTCTCATAATGAGACGCTCATACTGCGTAGGAGAAGTTCTTGTTCTGAAATCCCCCAGAGGACGAGAACTCTTCTTGTTTCTGCTGAGAATAAAGGATAAAAGTAGACACCTGAAGACTCGGGAGCAGCGCGGGTTAGGAAATGACTTCTGCTCAGCTGAACAGAGAGCATTGTGTTTCAGAGCAGCTGATAGGAATCTTAATGACAGCTTCCGTGATAACCATGCAATATTCAGAGGGAAGTGAATTGGCTGTGGCTGGTGGATTCATGACACATTTCTTCTTGGCTGCATCGCTCTCTGGCAGGCATGAGAAGTAGATTGTCTTTGCATTTATATGGCTTAATTGCCGTCAAAATTACCGCACCTGATCATAGAAGCTGCTCAGCATCAATCTCTGCGGGTATTTTAATTAGACACCGACTTAGCTGTACATCACAGGCCGCTTCCAAATATTGCTTTGGTTCTTACCGGCTCAGAGATGTCTGTGTGTATTGACACTGGTGTCATGTTTACTCAGGCTAAGTGGACTCTTGATAGATTATATGTTTAGAACTTTGCACAACTTTCTGCCGCAAGCGAGTTCCTAACGTCTGTTGTTAGTGTCTGTGCGTGAGCACACATTGTACTGAATGTCTTTATGTGACCTCATTAGTATCTTGGACTGTCAAGCAGATCCATCCAAATATAGCTTGGAAAACTGGAGAGTGACATGCAGCTAAAACCAGGAATTTAGATACCTATAGCACCATTTGTACACAATCTGTAATATCTTTGCTGATGTTTTTTTGATAAAATTTCGTGTCAATATTTCCATCTAATGTTATTTTCTTATTTTGTCATCTATTCTGTAAATTGCATCAGTTCACTTTGCAGCAAAACAGCCTCAAAACATGATGCCACCAAACTCATACGCCACGACTATGTTCCAAGGTTTTACGAGCTTCCCCTCTTTTTCCTTCAGATGCAACAATGGTTATCTTGGCCAAACATTTCAACTCCAGGTTAATCAGACCACAGGATGTGTCCAGAAATCAATATATCTTCCTGAGTGCAATTGCAGACGTACCTGGCTTTTTGTGCTGGTTGTAGCAATATCGATCCTTCCTCTCTGAATGCACTCTCAACTTCAGCCAGCAACTTCACAAGGTCTTTTGCTTACTATGATGCAGATTTTCAGACATCCTCGACATGGTGGTCTTGTCACACAATAAACTGCTCGGCAGGAAACGGTGTTCACGGTGAACGGTTTTGTGTGCAAGCTGATAAGGTGTGCAGTGGCTGCGTTGGTGGTGAAGAAACGGTGCATTGTGTCCAATTATCTCATCAACCTTGCCAGTGTTTGTTCGGATTGTGGGAAATGAAGGAATTTGTCATAAAACACGTAGGAGTCGATACGCTTAACTATGAAATCTCAACCGTCCTCTGATGCTTTGTGATGACTCCGTGTGGCTAACAAAGCACGCCCAAGTATGAGGGAGGCAACTGGACTTCTGTTGGAATCTTAGAAGATGTTTCACCTCTCATCCGAAAGTCTTTTTAAGATTTAAAACTTTAGTTGCAAAAATCTGGCTTATAAACTGTACACAGGAACAATCACACTGAATGGCAATAGAGTGCACTAATCACCACTACCCTCTCAAATAGAGGGAAGAGCCAGGTTTTCATGTGACCTTGATGGCCTCATTAGTGAAAACAATGGCCTCATTAAGGATTTATTGTCCCAAAATGTTCCAAAAGATATTCTGTCACACTGCTTAAAAAAAGTTAAATCACCTTTTAATGACATTTCTGATGAATTGCCAAAGTGAGTGCAGTTTTGCACACAGAGTAAAACAGTTCTGCGTCCAAGGCTACCAACACTTTTTCTTACTAGTATGAAAGAAACACATTTTCCCTTTAAGAGGAATGTGTGAAAATTACTGAAAAATGAGAGCAGATGGGTCAGTTTCTGGCGTCAAGGTATTCCAAGGTGCTAAACAGCCATGTGTCAAAGTTGCTTCAGTCTATTTGCTTTTCAATGTACTTTTAATGAAATGCCAGGAAATTTTCAGCCGTTTATTGCAGTAAGCACTGCTTCACTTTCCCTCCCCCACCTGTTGCTGGGCACTGCTAGATGCTCCAACATTTTCCCCCTCACTTACTTTTCTGTAAGTGAGGGGAATAAGCTAATTTGACTGCTTCAAAGTATTTCTGTGTGCAACAGACATGACTTGTCACTGAGTGGAAACTGGGGGTGGGAGGAAACAGGCTGTGTCTTTAAGTAGCTGCTTGCAGGGTGACTACTAGAGCCTGACTAATTAACCAGCTTCAACTGGTTTGTTATGCTTGTGTTACTGTTAAAAGAGGAAAAACTGTGAGAACAGATGATATTCAGATAATTAGCACTTGTAAATATTACTCAAATAAGTCTGTGTTTATTCAACAGTTTTGCTAAGGCATATGCATCAGAGTCAGAACAACATTAAATAAATGTTAGCTGTGATTAGAAGCCACGTTTCATGCCACTGACTAAAAGGTAGACATGTGCGGTTAAAAAAAATAGCTGAGATTTTTGTTCAGAGTGCTGAGGACGGACAGGAGCAAGGAGGACTATATCCATAGGGACGGTTCAGGATGGATAGTTTAGGAACAGAAATATCAAGGTAAAACAGAGTTTGCTTGCACAGAGCGGCAGACACTGGGTATATTTGGAGAAATGTGCTGGAGATTGAACTGCCAGTCAGGTAAGGCCAAAGGAGTGGAGAGAGAGGATATGGAGGTGTTTAGCTTGACAGAAGAAAAATGCAGAGGACATTCGACTGAGGATGTTGGATGAACTCGGATACGAGTATATTTTCGTTTGGACGCGGCATTTTGGTTGCAGAATAGAATTGAACTTTGTCGTCAAATGTTTGTGCTATTAGTGCAGCACCTTGATTTACAGCCCAGTGATCTGTGTATAAAATTATCCTGACCTTTTCGTAGGTTTTGATGAGTGCTGGAAAAATTAACTGGATAAGATCACACCAATCAGGCAGAAACTGTCAGACCAAGTAGATGACACTGATTATCTTTTCATCATTACGGCTGCTAGTGGGAGGGACACATTAGGCAGCAAGTAAACCCTGTGTCGTTGAAGTTAATGCGTTAGAATCAGGAAAATGGGCGAGGGTAAGAGAGTTTGACAAAGGCCACCTCCCTGATGAATCAAACAACTCAGTCATAACGTCTCCTAAGCTGCAGCTCAATAAAGTGTTGGGCAGCGTCTTTCAAAAGTAGTCCAAGCAACAACAACAAAAAAAAAATAGAAAAAAAAATAGAAATGGTGAATTAGTGACAGGTGTTTGGACAGAGAAGACTGGTCTGGGTGGTTCAATGCAACAAGCAAACTACTGTCGATCAAACTGGTGGTTCTGAGAGAAAATGCATAAAAGCGCTGACCCACTCTTATTTTATTCACATCTCACGGATGGCCGAGTGAATCTCTTACCTAGAAATGCATGGTTCCAAGATGCACTATAGGAAGAAAACAAGCCAGAACAGACAGCGTGAGACTCTGCTGGGCAGCCTTGTGTCCTGCAAGGTCAATGTTACTTACCACCTACATACCACTTACCCGGTGGTTTAAAAAAAAAAAAAAAAAGTGAGTATGCACTATGCGTGATGCATGGGAATGCTAAAGTGATGGTGGATAAATCGCTTCAGCATTTTGTGTAACAGCTGTTGTGCATTTGTAAAGCACTGGATGATACTCCTTTTACTACTCATGATATTACACTGTTTTCTTTTAATACGCATTTTTTATAAATCCACGACTAAGTCATATTTATACACCTGCACATTGAAAAACCCCGGGCAGGACAGAGGTGGTGGGGTGGAGTCACCGCATACACCTCAGAAGTATGTAGTTGCACAGCTGCGCCTACCAAAGCATTGTCGCAGACCATTTACACCCTTTCATGTAAATGGTAACCATTGATGACTGTGGCCTCTTTCAACAGGATAATGCACCACAAACCAGCGTCTCTTAACCAGCACTCTTTAATCACATTACCTCTTCATTTAACGGCGAGGTGATCTCTTCACTACATTCTACATGGTGGGGACATTGTAACTATGAGAAAGAAAGGGACTAAAGAGAAAAATGTGGGCGGATCATATTCAAAATCATCAAGGAAGAAGCTTCAAACGTGTTTTTTTGAAGAAAAACAAAAAACAAACCCATATATTTAACTTGAGTATTTTTCTCCAGACAACTGTATAAAAACTTCAAATTGTAAAGCAAGACAGGGAACAAGAACACCTGCTCGGTGATTTTGCATCAACATTCAAAAATCTTGCTGTGGGAAATCCATCATCCAAGATTAAATTCTGCTTTGCCTTTTTTATCCTCATCCTGTCAGATCCAATTGAGAAAGCTCTCTGTCTTCAGGTTTAATATGTCGTACATGACATGTTTGTGGACAAAACCCTATCAGCTTCTAAAGATTTTACTTTTTTTTTTTTTTTTTTTTTTTACTTTAATCGCCACTCAACAAATATTTTTAACTTGACGTGTACGTTATAGCCGAGAAGATGAAAATATAATGACGGAGAATACCTTTTTTCTCCTGGGTCGGGTTATTTTTGAACCTGCATTTGTTCCCATAGAGACAGAGTGTAATCAATAGCCTCAGTGAGAAGTGTTTGTGCTTATGCCTAGCTATTAATGTGTGAAGCTGTACAAAAGTGGCTTTTTCTACCGTACCTTTTGTTACTTAACAGAAATGTTCTGCAGAAATAACTGGAGGAAGTCCAATTACAATAGAACTTTTTTTGAACGCGTCACCTCTGCAATTTTAGAAGCTCATTCGTGAATGGTAATGATTTCTATGCTGCTGATTTCGACTGAGCAAGAGTGGCTTAAAGACGTACTGTAACTGTACAGTATCTTTGCTAGACATTATTCCTATTTGCAGAATCAGCAGACGCAGAGTCACCTTCGTTAAAATCTTGTCCTCTTCTCATCTTCTTTTCCTGTCAGGTCTCGAGGGCTACAGGCGTTTCGAGTCTTCTGCAGTCAACTACAGCACGATGCTGCTGGAGGCTGACAGCGAGCGGCTTTACGTGGGGGCCCGTGGGGCCGTATTCGCTCTGAATGCCTCTGACATCTCAGCCAGCTCCGCTCTCACTGTGAGTTTGTTTGTTTGTTGTGTTGCTGCATGTTTTGTGCTCACATACCATGTATTTTTTTTTTCTTTTTTGCAGTTTTTACTGTTTCATTTATGCTCCCCAGTGCAGGAAAGTTATGAAAAGAAAACATCCAAAATGTTTCATTTTGAGGTCGAAGCAAAGGAAGCCACTGTTATGCTGCAGCCACTTTAATTGCTGCATAAATTTGAGAAAAAACATTTTAATTTGCATCAACTCCCTCCTCAGGTATTAACAAATAGAGGAATACTGCGTTAATTCTGTTTGTACATAAATCTTAATGCAGTCTTACCAGTTGAATAAATATATGTAAAAACCCAATACCTAATGTTTAATTCTGTTGTTAATAATTTACTTTGATGAAGTTTAATGTTTAAACTTTATTTCTTTGTACTTCCCAGCGCAGGCTTGTTTAGGTCAATGCTGAGCAATAAATGATGGTTATAGTTTGACCTCGGTTAGTAGTTAGTATATCTCTCTATATATTTTTCTTCTTAATTACTTTAAACTATTGTCTTCACAGTAGGTTATATTTGTGTTATACGCTGACTCAAATTAAAATTTTTATTTTCTTAAATATTCAGTTGTTTCGTAACTCGAATACTGGTAGTTTTGTCAAGAGCAACTAATTGTGGATAGTTTTCCGTGTTACAGAAAGATTCTCAAATTAAAGATTGGATCATTCTGAAATGTTCAGCATGTTATGCTACTGCGATAAAAGGTACCTTTATTTAAAGGTTTATAAAACATCCTTCACATGGAGGACTGTGTAGTCTTGTGTTTTTTTTTATGTGTTTATTTTAATGAAATCAACAAAGGCAGAGCAGTAAAAGAAAAGTATTGTTGCCAGTATTCATGAAGAAGACATTAAACTTTCATCACAGACTTCCTTCGGTGTATTTATGTGGAGAATTGACTGAAACACTCTCACAGCCAAGCTGTTGTAAACATCTCTAGGACGTGTTAAGGCTTAGGTATTCCTTAAGGTAACTCATAATAAAAAAAGAGCAATTAAACTATATTCTTAGCTGGTGGCTCAATGAACATTACACTTCCTGCCGTTTATGTGTTGAATGTTTTACTCGGCTACCTCTTTACTCCCCGGCACATAAAAATTTTCAGGCTATATGAAATGCTTCACATTTGAGTTGTACTTTTAATATCGAGCCGAGAAAAGCCTCTAGGCTTTATAAGATCTGTGTTTCTTAATATTTTATTGGGCTAAAGCCACGAATATGAGCTATTTTATATACAAGCCTAGAAAAAAAAATGTTTGAAGATATTTTATGACTTTGTCTTGGATTCTTCCAAGAAACAATTTGACTCCAATTAAGAGTCAAATCGGTGTTACAATGTTTTACTGTGCTTTTAGCAAGTGTTGTCCTCCATCTGTTCTGCTTTGTGTTTCACCTGTTTTTATGTGTGTGCGCGCGTAGCACTGCATCGCAAGCGCTGCTGTGCCTCCATCTCCTTTGTGAGCTAAATATCTGTTACATAACATAAAAATCACGTTTGGTTACTCAACAGTAGTCATTTTAGATGCCACGGTCACAAAAGGAAAATCTATTTTCCATCAATTGTGTGGTAATTTCTTCAATATCCTCAAGGGTTCAATGATGTGATTTTTTTTATTGTGTCTTGCTTTATGTTCTCTGGTCTTGCTATAGATCGAGTGGGAGGCCTCCACTGAGCAAAAGCTTCAGTGTGTGCTCAAGGGAAAAGACAATAAGGTTGACACTTTGTTCTTATTTTAATCCTGTCATTTTTTTTTTCCATTTTTTTATTCTATTTTACTCTAATGATTAAAAGAAAAGCTACATTCTCTTAAAAAATGCAGTTGCCAAATTATTCTCTCTCTGTGCCTCTCGTAGTTAAAATGCTGGTGAAATCCTTAATTCTTCTGGGGAACAAGGCTATTGCCCCATTTTTACATCCTTTCAGTCTGTTTGAAGCACTTTATCACCATATCCCAGTGTTATGTGTCAAAATGTTCAACACTCTCTAAGCTTCATCCGTCCAGCAGTTTCAGGCTTGAGCAAAGGGATGAAGTATAATTGGGAACAAAGGTTAAAGAACTAAATTGAATGAAATCAAATGGTCCAATTGTTTTGGTGCTTAAAATTGATGAGCCTAACTATTTGCTTCCTAAAATAAGTGGATAATATCAGAAATGTAGCAGATAAATGTAAAATAAATGTCCATAAATAAACTTTCTGTATTGGCTTTACCCAATATTACAGAGCTTTTCTTACCAATTCAGCGTTTGTATCAAAGAGCAAATTTTAGTTTAATAGATTCTCTAACAAACCAGCACACATTAACATGAATTTCATTAATATTAATTATTTGCTGTTATGTTGCATCTGATATGTGAATGCACACATTGTTGTTTGTTCCTTTTAATTTAATTAAGTGTGCCTTTTCTCTTCCTCTTCCAGACAGAGTGTTTTAATCACATCCGCCTCCTGCAGCGGTTTAACTCTACGCACCTGTACATGTGTGGGACTCACGCCTATATGCCCCTCTGTGCATACGTTGTATGTCCATGAATACTTTTTTCTTTCTTCAGCAATCCACCACATTTATATCATGTGTTTCATAGATGGTAGATTAATTTTAAGTTTTAGCTACAAAAACTGCTTTTTTGAGTATTTTTTTTTTCTCTGTTTTTCCTTTAGGATGAAAAGAGGTTTGTTATGTCCTCTCAGCCCGAGGAAGGCAAAGATAAATGTCCTTATGGGCCAACAACAGGTTTCACTGCCCTCATTATAGGTAAGCCACATGAAAAATGTCAATTTCATGAAGAATTTGTCTTCGAATTTGGATGACGCAAAACCTTGTTTTGTGGGGGTTTTTTTTGCTTCAGACCAGCAGATATACACAGCTTCCCGGTACGACTTCTGGAGCTTTCCGGATATTCGCCGAAACGCTCCATCTCCCGCTCTGAAGACGGAGAATGCTCCCACACGCTGGCTGAACGGTGAGATCATTTCCTGAAATAGAAGCATTTGATCACATTTGGATGGCAAGACTGTGCGAGTGCACCACAGTTTTATTTTAAAGTGTTTTAACATTGTGATGGTGTTTCTGGATGGCCCCTAGCAATTTGTGGTCTTAATGAGAAAGAGCACGCAGTTAGATAGATAAATTAGTTGATGCAGCAAATTCAATATGTAATGCAGTGTTGTGTTCAAGACCACCTAACCCGAGACCAAGACAAGACCAAGACCAGAGTGTATCGAGACTGATACAAGACCGAGACCATCAACAAATGGTCTTAAGACCGGTCTCGGGACCAAGACCGTTTTCGAGTACTACAACACTGATGTAATGGCAGCTTTAATTTTAGTACATCTAAATGGGACACAAATACAAATATGTTAAGCAACTCCATACACCAAAAAATAGGCAAAAATGTTTCAATTCATCTCTTCTTCCTTGCAGAGGCGGACTTTGTGGGTTCAGCTCTTGTCAGGGAGAGTTTGGGCAGCAGCGATGGAGACGATGATAAGATCTACTTCTTCTTCACCGAAAAGAGCCAGGAGCAATCTACAACCTACAGCCACAGCAGGGTGGCGCGTGTGGCCCGAATTTGCAAGGCGAGTGCAAAACTCAAGGTCTTATGTATTCTGCTACTGGGAGGGAAGCCCTTCATCAGGGCAAATGTATGAAGTTTTTTTTTAGCTGATGTAACAAACGAGAGGCGGGCTGGGAGACACATTTAGAGTCAAGGAGCGCGGCATTATTACAGGAGCAGACTGCGTCGGTGATGAATTAGTTGCAGAGCCAGTGAGGTTTGGAGAGGATGAATGCAGGTGAGACAGGCTGTTTAGCGTCTTTCTTTTTAAAATGTGAATGATTAACATTTGCCGCTGCCCTGATAGGCAGCAGCCATCTGTTGCCTTTTATAACCTCGTTGTTTGTCTTCAATGAAGAGAGCTCACTGGGGCTGTTTTTGGAGGTATATAAATCAATCCGTTTTATTATAATAGAAATGCATCAAGATTTCTTGTGCAGTGTCAAAAACTTCAGCTCAAAATAAAAAAAAATCAGTTGTGTGTGTGTGTCTTTGACATTTATTATTGATCTGATACCAGGGAATGAAATTCCACGAGGGGGTCATAACCCCCTTTTTTTGTGTGTGTGTGTGTGTGTGTGTGTGTGTGTGTGTGTGTGTGCGCCCTCAGTCCTGGATCTCTAGAGGTGTTACAGATATGAAGCACGGCACCTCACACCTACCCACATCAGTTGTAAATGTTTTCCTGACACATTGGCTGTTTTGTAGTCCTCGCCTTACACGACTCTCCTCTCCTCATCTGCTCCTCCTTTTTTGTCCCTCAGGGAGACCGAGGAGGCCATTTGACTCTCCAGAAACGATGGACGTCCTTCCTGAAGACGAGACTGACTTGCTCTCTGCCCGAGTACGACTTCCACTTTAACATGCTGCGCAGCGTCTTCGTAATGCATGGCCTCGCCCCGCAGGACACTCTGTTTTACGGCATCTTCGGTTTGGAGTGGTGAGTTAAAAAAAAAAAAGAAAAAAAGAAGAAAATCTCTGTTTGGGTTGCGGAGCGGGAAGGATGGGCGATTGAGATTGCGAAAGCGGACGAGTGAGACTAAGATGAGAAGCAGCAGCCAATACATTGAAGCTTTCGAAGATCTCAGGAGGGGATGAGATGGAAAGAGGGCAGAGAAACTAAGTCCAGAGGGCGTTAGGTTCAAGTGGTTTGACGAGCTGAAGGTTTACAGATGTTTAGGAAAAGGTTGTGCGGATTTTTAGTTGCCTTTGAATGTTGAGAAACGCCAGATTTATGTGGTTCAAATGGAACAAAAATACAAGGAGATTCTGTTTATTCAATAACTTTTAGCACAGAAATAAGTACATGGAGGCGAACTGTGGCTGCTGCTTGAATTGTTTAAGATAACCAAGTCTGCAGTAAATTTACATTTACATCTCTTGGGTATCGCTCAAAGAAGAGGCATGTAAAGAAGAATTCTCCATGTCTGAAACTCTTTGCTAGTTAAAGCACATACATTGCCTTCAAAGGTTTTCATGCACCTTAAACAGCATGACACCAAGGCTCAGTTATACACATGAACTGAGCCTTGAATTAATCAGAGACCCAGCAATGAGGCCCACAGTAACTATGGAGGAGCCTCAGACGTTTTGCAACCGGCCACAAAACCTGCAGTCCATCAGAACTGATGGGCTCAGGGATTTTTGGTTTGCAAATCCGTTAGTTCATTTCTCATCACATTTTGTCCATTTTTGTAGAGTTTTCTGGGTTTATGCAGGAACTCAGTTTTTGCTTTCACATACTGACAAAGTTATCATGAAGACAAAATTGCACTGAACTTTGGACTTTGAAGATTTTTGTGTGTATCACTACTGCATAAATCAATCCTTCACCCTAAGGCAGCAGCAATGGAAAATGCTATTTTATATCAAAGCAAACAGCATAAACAAATAACACTCCATACATCTTGATATTATTTTCTCTTCAAGCTCCAATTCTGTCTCTTACCTCCCCTAAACCTCGTTGTTGCCTCTTAATTCCCGTTCTCAGACCTTTATGATTTCTAATGAGCTTCATCTCTGTCAGCACTCATCCTCTTCCTCCTTATTTTCCTCCCGTTTGTCTCTCTCTATCCTTTGACGAGCCGCGGCGCCGCTGCACCTCTGCTTCTCTTGCCATGGTAACCCCTGGTTTACTAGTGTTATTGTTTGTGACTTGTGCTCTGGTCTTTCTCCCCCTGCTGCTTGACGTACAAAGGAAAAACGTGAAGGCGTCTGCAGTGTGTCGGTTCGCTTTGTCTGAAATCCAAGAAGCCTTCCGAGGACCCTACATGGAGAGCCAGGATCCCGGCTCCACCTGGAAGGAATATGTTGGAAAAATCCCCGAGCCACGACCTGGAACTGTAAGCACACGTCCACAAGCTTTTGCACACAGACAGTGACGGCTTTTGAGTTTTATTAAAATTACAACAAAGCTCATCTTCAAACTTGCATTAAACAGGAATAGCTAGAGAGCAGATGAGATCATTTTTAAGCGAAGATGAATTCATTAAGACGTTGCACTAAACATGAAGGGAAAACTAAACAAAGAATGAAAGTCGACTTTGAGAGACTCAAACCATTTTTATGGCAATTAACGAAAGGGGAGAGGGGCCAGCGGTCGACTTTGTGGTAGGAGACATTTTCTATTGTGGGTGAATTTCAGCATTTCTTCAGACTTAATTAAACTTTCCCATTAAATGGAAAAAAAAAAGGAATAGTCAAAGGTTTTGGGGTGAGAGCGTGAAAGCCTCTTAGAGGAGTTGGCTGACATCATTTGAACAGAACAAAGCGAAAGGAAAGCTGCCTCCTCATTCAGGTGCAGTGAGAGCCGAGTCGCCCTCGTGTCAGCAGAAAAACGGACGCTGAGCTCACACAGGCTTATTAAAATCTAAATGAAAACTTGCAGTTTCTCTTGACACGGTCTTCCAAAGGTTCCCATTTTTCTCATGATGTCTGAATTCTCCCTGAGGACCGTCTCACTAATCCTCCTGACATCCTCTCTACCCTCCGGAGCCGGCCTCTATTTAAAGTCTGGTTTGTTACATATAAGGACAACACTGTCTCGCTCTCTCTCGCTCTCCAAGTGCTTTGTTACTTTGTCCTCATCCCCCGTCCATGTCTCTCTTTGGTCTTTCTTTTACTGCAGTGCATTACTGGCAAGCTGAGGGCCAAGGGCATGAACGTCTCCACGTCCCTACCTGACGAAGTCCTGGATTTTGTCAGACGGCATCCTCTAATGTCCCATCAGGTCCAGCCTGCAGACAGACGTCCCCTCTTGTTCAGGAGGACGACAGACTACACACATATGGCAGCGACTGTGGTCCAGGGAGTAGACGAGCAAACGTACCACGTTTTATATATGGGCACAGGTGTGTGTAAAGCTTCTCGGCAAGCTGATTTTTAGATAAAAACTGGTAACGGAGGGTTTAGAGACCTTTTTAAAGATGGAAAAAAAAAGCAAAACAAAACGTTTTTTCAGTGAGGGCTGGTGGGAGGATTTGAGCCTGGCACTGTTTCTACTCTGAATGTTGAATCAGATCATTTTAGAATTGCAAAATGTCCGTTGTGAAGGCTCTGCGAGCGCCGGTCTGATGTAACCCCCTGGCAAAAATCTGATGTCAGCGCTTTGGAGGATGTTCAGTCAGTTGTTTCAGAAATCACAAATAACAGAAAAAAAAAAAAAAAAAGCAATATTCGTCATCCAATCAGACTCCAACATTCTCTTTTAACAGCTTGGCAGAATGGAGCGTTGTTGTTCACCCAAGTTTCATCCTAAATTTTTAGTTGGAAACCTAGTCGATTTACTGACTTCATCGTTGACTCTTGAGATCTTATTTTAATGAAAAATCCATTTGACTTTTGGAAAGAGAAACATCTCTAAAATTTCACCTGTGCCTTTGCTGTTTGGGTTGTCAGAAATGCAGCCTGCAGGACGTTCGTTGGCCCTTGTAATGAGTTTGCGTGGCATACGAAAGCAATTCAGGAATGGCATTGATTTGGCTGATGATAAAATAATTGGGATTTTTTTTTCTGTGCTGCAAATTAAAATATCTGACTGAGCATCTTCTGAGCCCATGTTTTATTTTTTGCCAGTGGTTGCAGTAGTCATCTGTTAAATCCCACTTATCAGACAACTTTTCATTATTTATGAATCAGATCTTGATGTACTCACTTTGAACCTGCTTGTCATAATAATAGTAATACATTTCTTTATATGTAATACAGACCTGTTTGATAGATTGGAACATTACGGAAAGTTCAATTTATTTCAGGAACTTAGTAAGCGATTTTATAATATAGGTAAATTACACACAGATGGATGTTAAAAGCAGAAATGTGGGTTTAGTGAAATGTCTTTTTAATACCCACTTAAAGGTTGCTGTTTTCAAATCGTGCTTTTAATCTGACAAACAAGCTTCACTGATTATTCTATGGTATATTCTAATTTATTGAATATGACTGCAGTGGGTTTACAGTGTAAACGTACTAAGGATAATTCATCTGTAAAAAAAAAAAAAGAGAGGTTTTGAGGTGAACGTTGTTGAACTTAAATCCAAAGCTCTGCTCCTTTGATGGTTTTCCAGTGTTGAATCATCTCCACCGACTAACATTTTGAAAACTAGCTAACTAAACATCCCAAATCTTTGATCCATCCAGATGAAGGTTGGTTGCACAAAGCCGTAGACATCAAAGGTCAGCTGCACATTATCGAAGAGTTGCAGCTGTTTGAAGAACCAGAACCTGTTACCAACGTTCTGCTATCTACAGAGCGGGTAGCCACTCTCGCCGCCTTAAATACACAAAGTTGAAGATGACTCACTGTCTTAATACTTAAGTCCTAATTATTTCCCCCCTCAGACGAGTGTGTACGTCAGCTCCCCATCGGGGGTTGTTCAGCTGCCGCTGTCGAACTGCGAGAGATACACTTCCTGCTACGACTGCATATTTTCCCGGGATCCTCACTGTGGCTGGAGCGGAGCCGAGTGTGTGGACGTAGTGACTCAGTCGAACAGGTGAGTGTTGAAATCTGCCGGCGTGCGGTTGGATCAGGTGACTGAAGGTGACCCTTGATTGGCCTGATGTATCGCTGCGCCCTGTGACAATGTCAGCTCCCAGAACGGTTGCGTAATCAGGACTGCGGGCAGAAACTTGACCCCGGCTGTAATCGTACACACATCATGCAGCTGCATATTTGGAGTGCACTGATTCATGTGGACATGTAAGCTTTATTGGCAGAAACAAGCTGATTCGGGGAACGAGGAAGTTGTGCAGCGCCTTGCAAAATAATTCATTCTCCTTCAACATTTTCTGTATATTTTCAATGTGGCAGTCCAGCACAAGATTATTTACAAGTGGGAACTAAAGGAGGATGAAATGAAAATCTGGAAAGTGTGGTGTGCAAATCAAATCACATTTTTTCCCCGATACCCCTAAATGAAATCAAATTGGATCAGTTGCCTTTAAAAATAATCCAGTCAGTAAAATCTAACGCTCCATCAAACAAATGTGAACATGAAATTTTTATGGTGGTGCATGGTGATGGCAGCAACATGCTGTGGGGATGGGTGTCTTCAGCAGGATTTGGGAAACTGGTCAAAGCATACTTCTGAATCTTGTTGGAGATTGAAGATGACTTGAGATTAAAAGTACAGTCGGAGCTATAGTGGAAGATTTTTGTTCACCTGCACTCTCAATCCAATCTGACTGGACTCAAGTTGTTTTCCAAAAAAAAAGTTCAATTGCACAACACTAAGATCTAGACCCTGAAAGACTTGCAGCTGTAAAAGCAGCAAAGGCTGGTTCTGATATCCATCTTTCGTTTAACAACTATATGCTTTTTTTTACCTTTATGTATCATATAAAAATGTGTTCACGAGGTTGTAGCGTTAAAAAAAAAAAAAAAAGCCAGGCTGTGAATACCTTTTCAAGACACTGCAAATAGATCAAGCAGAGAGGATAAGAAATAAAACCCTCTGCTCACTTTTATTTTTCTATTGTGCTTATTATTAATTTTTTTCTCTCCTTTCACAGATCCTCTTTAATCCAAGACATCCAGCATGGCAGAACGGGGTGTGAGAACACAGGATACGGTATGCAGAAGTCTTATCTGATGCTTTTATATATATATATATATATATATATATATATATATATATATATATATATATATATATATATATATATATATATATATATATATATATATATATATATATATAATAAAAGTTTGCTTTAAACATCTAGACAGAGGATTAAAAATAGAGAATATGAGGCTCAAAAGATGCACAGTTGTCATCGGATGGCGTGAAGGCCTCTTTGAAAGTTGATTATATGCACAGCGTTGGTAAAACCCTCTCCTCCCTTCTTTAATCACATCTTTGCTGTCTACGGAGAGAAATCTGTTTGATATTCAAGGCAGGCGAATGCCTTCTCCCCATTTATCAATTTTCACTCTGATGAAATGTAGCATCTTCTAACTCCTCATTCTGTCTCTGTATGGGGCAGCATGATACCATTATTATTAAAATGTGTCTAATTGAACATCATGCCACGATAAGTCTGGACATTCTCTGATAAATTTGGTGAATGATAAATAATTAGTATGTGAGTCAAGGGGTTGGTTAATGTAATTTTGTGAAGTTAGATTCTCCTCAAACTTTTGCACACTGCGTCACATTAAAACCACAAGCTTCTGTGTGTTTTATTGAGGTTCTATGTGATAGATCAACATAGAAACCTACATAGCCGTGTAATGGCAATAAAATGAATATAGAGAAGGTTGTAAATAATTTTGAACGTGCGATTTTTTTTTTTTTTTTTTTTTACTAAAATGGAAATAAAATTTTTTTCAAAACTGATTCCTTTTACATCCTTACAGGAAATAAATGAAATCTCACAAGTGTGAGCCAATTAAGAATCTTGGAGAGGAACATTGCTGCTTATAGGCAATTAAATCAGTTAAATGAAGCTCAAAATATTTGAGCTTGAAATAAATTTTAGCCCTCACATGTGCAAATCTGGTGGAGACATGCCCCAAAAGTCTGATTCTACAACGTTTTAGTCAAGGGAGCTAAATATAAATGCATGCCGCACTTTTCAGATTATTAAAGGACGAAGGACATGAATGCTTTCACAAAGCATTCAAGTGACAAAATGTTG